CGCTACTTCTATGTTCCGTTACACGCGATTTCGCGACGCGTTCGCAAAATGAAATTGAAACGTAAAACGCTTACAGAGTCACCGGCGGGGAACTGTTCGAAGACATCGTTGCTCGGGAATTCTACAGCGAGGCCGACGCCTCGCACTGTATTCAACAAATCCTGGAAAGCGTTCACCACTGCCACCATAATGGAGTTGTGCATCGGGATTTGAAAGTACGTAGAGAAAAAGGGAGAAAATGTGTCAAACGAGGTCTCCGCGTTTGCAAAGTCAACGTTGAATGAAGCGAACGAGCAAGCGTGAAATTCGCGTGATCTATTTCTTCACAATGCATTTCCGCATTTCCCAATATTTGGCGCTCTATTCTCCACGGGATGTCTTGGGAAGTCTAAATAATCTAATAATGGTAAAATAATGGATATTCCCTATCGCGTATTCTCGCGATTGCAAACTTAAAATTTATCGGCATCTCTCATTTTTCAAAATTAAATCACTCGATAGTTCGGGGTCGCGTTTTTGTTTCCGACGAAAGAAAATCCGCGCCTCTCTGATATTATCATTAACACTTTAACACCGATCAAATTGCGCAGAACGCTTAAATCTTATTTGAAATCAATTTTAATCGAAATTTCAACTCACGCGAGAAAACGCAGGATGATTATAAAGGAGAGTGGTTAAAAAGGAGAGTGTATACGGCAACGTCGATGAATCTGCTGTTTTCTGTTGCAGCCCGAAAATTTACTCCTCGCGAGCAAGGCGAAAGGGGCGGCTGTGAAATTAGCGGACTTTGGCTTAGCAATTGAGGTGCAGGGTGAAGCACAGGCATGGTATGGTAAGTATGGCTGATATTCTTTTGATAATTTCGATTCGCTGAGACTGCAGATTTTTGTCGATCCGGACCAATCGCTGATCAATCGCTATTTGCGCGCAATTCCCGTGAACGGGGAAGAGCATGTGTCAAATGTGGTACTTTGACTACACAAATGATATTTAACCCTCAATTGACGATCACTCGATCGTCTATTTCCTCACCATCGGATAAGGATCATTACGAAAGTTCGGTTGTAGCGAATAATCACACAAATCGCATTGCCGACGGATTATTCGATTGCAACTAGAGTTGTCGAACACTGCTCGATTGTTAGTGATCCGTGTAAAATCTTGCAGAACGTAAAGTACATAGTTTCACATCTTGAATTCTTCACGCTTGATTAAATTTATATAGTCAGATATTTCGATTATAATAGCAATTTTTCACATTATTTACACGCAGCAAACAGAACGTTAGATCGTCAACGATGCGCTAAAATTTCAATACGATATATCAACGAGGAAAGTGTGCACAAAATACGATTAAATATTACAGTTTAATAATAGATATGTGCTGATCAATCTTCTTTTGAAATGTCTGCGTTGTCCACAAAGTTACAACAGAGATATTGAAATATTTGTTCGTTAGGTCAGAACTTTGAGCGACACAAATTCGATCTAAATATTTTCTTAATATCAGTAAAAATAATAGGAGATTTGCCAACTATCGTGGCCCAAGTCGCAAATTTGACATCTGATACTATAATTTACAAGTGAAATATAGTCTTCGCTATCTCTCTTTTATCCGATTTGCAATATCCACCTTTTCTTCGTATCGCATAACATATCATTTTCTTATAGTAAGAAACGCGTTAGCATCTTGCGGGAAATGTCAGTATCGAGACTGCCGCAAACTTATTTTGATAGAATAAAGTGCTATTATGTACATTCGTTGAGAAAAAATGGGAAGAAACTGTTTTTTAATGTCGGAGCAAAAGTATTTTTCTTATTATTGCACACACGTGAAGGCGGTGAAAAATAGGATTTTTAAATTTGCTCTTACGTGCTGTTTAATGATACATTGTTTTTCATATTATCCGCGTGCACCTCGATCTTTGTGTTTATTTTACACTCTGTTTGTTTGATTTACATATATAGATATACAGATATACAGATATCTACTAGCTATATGAGTCAGTATATCTGAATACAGATCTCATTGAAACCTTGTCAGCCAGCTGGCTGCTCCTTTTGTTCTACTTTATGCAAAATACGCGCAGAAGTTTTCCAATAGTATGGCGAAACTTTTCCGTGCTTTTTCTATGCATGCAAAAAGACCCACAAACCTAGATCTTGATTTTAAAGTCTTTTACGAATTCGGAGGCAATATTTTTCTGCAAAAAATTGTGCTCCGAACAATTATTTACTGAATTTTTTATACATTGTTTTACATATCAAATATCTTAAAAATTTGAGGTCCTAAATCTAGTGTTAACAATTAAATATGCTATTTAATTGTGTTTGGAGAGATTACCGTTTAGACATTACACTGCTCATTCTAAAGTTACTTTTCAATTAACTTAAAAATTATTTCGTTAAAATTAAGATTGCGCTTTCTAAAACATTCTGTATTCTGATACGCAATTACGTTTTCTAGCAACACTTGTCTATCTCATTTTTATCCCGACAATCGCTTTTTTTTCTTTTTGCTCTTTTGGATGCTGAAAACGTGTACGTATTAAATCTGTCAGACCCTCTGCAGAAAATTATTATTATATGGTGCACGTGGACTTGCACAGAGAGCTTTGGTGAGAACATTAAAACACGAAAGATTAGAGGACGCAAAACGATGGACAGTTTAATGCAATTTAAATACATTATTAGTGGAAAAATCAACATTTATTTTATCGCAGTTTTGTCATTTTTGTAACGCGCAATGCTATAACACTTTCAACGATGAGAACGATTTCATTTTTATGTAGCGTGACTTAATACGAAAACAACCAATGTCACTTTTTGGTTAAAGTAAGATAATGAATTTTAAGATGTGCCGTTTTTTTTTAATAAAAGAATTAGAAATCTTTCCAGGAAGATTAAAGTTTGAATTGTAACCGCTTTGTTTTTAACCACAACTAATTTTTCTTTTTCGTACATTTTCCATGATATCTCTGTCTTCGTACTGTATTTATGCCCAGAATTACTTGCGAGCTGTTTAGTATGTTACTGAAAACATTTTGACGATTGGGATGGCAAGATGAATACAAAAAGATACAAAAGATATGTCGCAATCGCAGACATAGTATTTTCGAGGACAATCATACGCGGTTTAACCGTGCTTTTGCCGCCCCAAAACTGCTGCCCAATGACTGCAACCGCGGTTACATAACAACGGTGTGTGCTTATTGAAAATTAATTACACGTATATTTTTATGGCAAAATGCAATAAAATGATTAGGACAAAAATCGAAAAAATATGAATCTCACGACATAACGTGCGCGACTGTTCGGATTGTATAGGTAATATTTTTCTCGAGGCCATTAGTCGAAAATATTTTATCGCTGTCATTTGTGTATTTTTCGTGAATTTTATAGCCTCATGTCGAACAATCAGATAACTGACGCGCAAAAATTCATAATTTACATGTCGCAACTATAATAACCATAGGAAATTTTCAACACTAATGAAAACAAATAAATGATGTCGCATACTGCTAAATTATGTACATAGTTTATGTTTCGAAGCTAAATTGCAATAATAATCGATTCGCCATCAGTCTTGAATTCTTCCTATAACGAATCTGTACCTATTAAGAAGTGAAAAATTGTTCGCGGCAGACATTTATATTTGTCTTTCGAATACTAAGAATCAGTTTAGAGAATGATAATATCTGAGATGTGATTTCGTGCATACAACAATTTGATTAAATCCGATTCTTCCGCCCTATACTGACCGAATCAGCGTCCGAGTATCTTTGAGGAGAAAATGAATCTGAATGATTGGTAATAAGGTTTCGCTGGAACGCCCGGCTATCTCAGCCCGGAGGTACTGAAGAAGGAACCGTACGGAAAGCCAGTCGACATATGGGCGTGCGGTGTCATCTTGTATATCCTTCTCGTCGGCTATCCGCCGTTCTGGGACGAGGATCAACATCGGCTCTATGCACAGATCAAGGCCGGATCGTACGACGTACGTATCGTACGATTTGTAAACTTTTTCAAAATATTGGAACACTGTTTAGAGATTTGATGAGAGATATATTGAAAAAGAGAAGAAAATCTTTGTTGAGGGAAGCTCTACACACACAAACAAAATTGACTGATAAAAAAGTTGCGTGGAGTTTTCTTTCTTGTAATATATTTACGTGATTACGTAAAACTTGGTGAAAAATTATGGAATGTTGTTCTCACACTTGTTCTGCTCAGTATCCGAGTCCAGAATGGGACACCGTCACGCCGGAAGCCAAGAATCTTATCAATCAAATGCTGACGGTGAATCCAGGAAAGAGGATCACTGCCAGCGAGGCATTGAAGCATCCATGGATCTGCGTAAGTTTGCCTTTCTGCGATCGATGTAGTTCAGGAATTTATGTTATACGTCTATATAATTTGGAAGGAAAAATATAATTACTCATTTGATATATATATGATTGGCTCGCGTTTAACTCTCGCACGATATGGAAACCTTACTACAAATGTCACTCTTGCATAACATTTGAGTAACGCGATGTTATGTAAAATATGATATATTATATCGGTAATTTAATATCTTAAATCAATTGGATGAAATAAAGATACATTATGTATTAACAATATTAACAAAATAACAGTTTCTACTAAATGGGTAACTATCAATTTGAATTTTAATACCAAAATTGTTTCTTCTTCGTTATGTTTCCAAGTCCGACTTTTGTCCGATCTTTTGTTGGCACTGACCAAATCGTATCTTTGTCATCTTCTCTTAACTGATCTCTACTGCGCATCAATAAAATTTCACTCTCAGTGAAGCGTATGAAGTAAAATCTAATTTCGCGCTACTTAATTCAATCGTTCTCTCAAGACAATGTTTTTCAGTGTTTCTGTTTACTTTGTGTTTCAGCAACGTGAGCGTGTTGCATCTGTGGTGCATAGACAAGAAACCGTGGACTGCTTGAAGAAATTCAACGCAAGGCGCAAATTAAAGGTAAGTCTCGACAAGTTTTACTTCATGTATCTTTTTATTTTTTTTGTATTATTTGTTTTTGTATTATTATATTTTTTGTATCATTGAGCCTTGATTTTTGTTACTTGATACGAATACGATTATACGATTTCGCGATTTCTTTGTTATAAATCTATGTTTGTTATATAAACGAATAAGTTGTTTCACCATACGATAAATAAAGATATATTTTTCTGTTTATATAAAACAATGTCAAATTTAAAATAAAATTCATGGAATTTTATGGATATTACAAGATACAATTTACACGTTTAAAATATAAAACGCAATATTTTTTTATTTGTCTCAATGAATAGGTTTTTTTTTGTTCTTTGTAATACAGTTTTACTGATGCAAATTATTATTTATTCTAATTAGTATCGAAAATTATTATATTCAGACTAAACACTCCGAATAATTATTTTAATCAGACAAATGGAAATTGAAATTCGCGAGGGACTCATCTCGACAAATATATGAACGGTGTATGCATAGCTTTTTTACAAGAATTGTTAAGAGACCGAAATTTGTTTGATTCGCGATCATCAGTTGCTAATTTTAGATAGTAGGCACGGAAATATAATCGCGGTAATCGCGCGAATTCTCGTTTTCGCCGACCGCAAAATCTCACATATCAGCCCCAACCATTTACAGATGCAAATTCCATTATGTCCACTTATCACGTGGCAGTCTAGATTGCTTCCGCGCGGCGCTATGCATGTTAGTAATATCTATAAAATTAGAACGCGACATGGCGCATGGTCGTCAACGCTAGTATATGTAACTGTTATTCAGTGAATTTCTCTCAGGAGCTATCATCGAACGAGAAAGATCAACTTCTCGTCAAGTATACGTTGGCGCGTAATCTTTCGAAAGAAATTTGACAAATTTTGTGAATGTGTTGAGTGGAACAATTCTTGAATAGTGAAAGATAAAGAATAGTTATAATTTTCAACGATTTATCAAAGATTGTTTCCAATTGATATTACAACACTGAAAGAAATTGGCATTCTTTTTAGTCAAGTTTATAGTATTTATGATTTATTATTGATAGGGAATATATGAAATCTTTTTGCAAGAATTTCAAAGATGTATTAGAATCCATGTAATCGTTTGTCACATAAACTCTTGAATCACTACTTTGATTGACGATAGCAAAGTCAATCAGAACCAAATAATGCCTTCTTACTTCTATGGACATTTCTACGCTCCTGTCGTTCGACATGTCGATTAAACGATGACAGTACGACTCTACCTGTCGTTGCAATCGCCGCACTCTCTCTCTCTCTCTCTCTCTCTCTCTCTCTCTCTCTCTCTCTCTCTCTCTCTCTCTCTCTCTCTCTCTCTCTCTCTCTCTCTCTCTCAGCGCAGTCTCATATCAGAATAAAGAATATCGCTTTTTATCGAAGCCACGTATGTGTAACACGTTTGTTCGCCGTTCGTCGAAATGTGCCGAAAGTTTAAAGCATATGATGAGAACAATGCGTGTTTCTCTCAAAGAGTTTCGATCTAATTGACTGAAGAAGTAAGAGTGCGAGAGATTCGATAAAGATATTAATGCATTTATAAAAATTTAGTCGTGTGCTTTTTTTCACCACGCATAATTCCTTCAAGTCCCTCCGCGGACTAGTGGTTTCTCATCGCTGAAAAAATGACATCACAAGTTTAAGTGGATAATTTTCTCGAGTCAAAATGCACAGCACGTTTTGAAAGCGGTGCGAATTAAATTATCGACATGTTGAAACTCGCTTCTCTTACGAATCGCCTTGATAATGATTGTCAAATAACAATGCTCGGAAATTATACAGTCGAGATCAAGCTTGGGATCACTTATATCGGTGCGATGCAATTGTAATTGCGTGTTGGATTAATTAATGTTCTTTTGACCGCGGTAATCGTATTTTTGCGCGAGACCGTTCGTCATAAAAATCAAATGTCGCAACATTAATTATAACGCGATCCTTTAATAATAAAACGAACGAGCGGTCACTTGTGTAGCGAAATATTAATATTCGAAACCAAGCTCTGAAAATATTGCGCCAAACAGTACGACTCGATTCTTTTTATTTTATTGTTTATTTAATTTATTGTGATTTAGTTTAGAAAATAACATAATGCTAAAATACATAACTGAAGAATAAATATATTTATACTTTATATTGATTAGAGTAAAGAATTGCTTTTGTGTGTCAGATCATCAGTGGAATTACGTAACAATAGTAATAGGGAAATTACTTGAATTTATATCACAAATTGCCATCAATTTCTCAATTTGTTCTACTTAATTTTAACGTGCTCAGTTCAGCATGCATCATTGATAATTGCATTGTACCAATGTTACGCACTTACAATTTACGCTACGAATGTACTTTCATAGTGTACTAAATGCAAAGATTTTTTTATGCATTGTTTGTAATACAAATGGAATTCTAGTGTTACGCAATTAGCAATTTTATATTACAGCAGACACAATTGTAACTGGAGTATTTCGTAATTTATATCATAACTCACATTGAAAGACTAAGTGGAAAATCTTATTACTAATGCAATTTGCTGCTGTATCATGAAAGATGGACCAATTCATCTCATTGCTAGTAAATGAATGAGTTTCGAGACACTTGCAGGCGTTGTCATTCCACCGTGCGCCAACTTGGAAATTGTCGTCGTAGCGGACATGCATTAAGGACATAATCGGCCAAACGCGTAAAAATGGCAGCAACGTTGAAGTAGCATTTGACCCGAATGCTGATTAAACTTTCGAGTTTATAAAAGTGCAAATACCGAATAAGAAGATTTAACGAGGCTCTCTCTTCTCGTTTACGCGCACAGATTGAAACATGCGGGCGCTGAGAAATAAATTTATGTTGTGCAGACAACGGGAGGCAACCGTCCGAGGTAATGAAATTTTTATTGTCGTCGGAACGCAAAGTTGTCGCGCCAGTGTGTATGTATGTGAAGCTGAGACATATCATTTCGTAAGCACTCGTCAACTAAATATTAAGAAATCTGACTTTAATTTTATTAGAAAGATTCAATTGTGATTGGTACTTTTTTCAGCTCTTAGAAAGGGCTCAAGTTCTTTCTCCTACTTGTAAAGTAGAACTCTAAAGCTCTTGGAATCAGATAAAAGATGATAAAATACTGGTCACGAGACAATCCGAGGCGCAGCATAAAGATTCTGTCTGTTCTCAGTCTGTTGCAAATCAATTTCTTTGATTTGATAACTAAAATTGTTTCTTTTATTTACCACGAAAGTGCGGAATTGTTAAAAATTATGCGAAAATGTTTAATAGTTTAGATTTCCACGGTTTAGCATCCCGATTAGCATCGATTACGATGAAGGTGTTATTTCATGACATTATCCTTATAAGAAAATTTGTTTATATTTGTAACATTTGTTATAAAAAGGATGACAAGTAGAGTTATCTAGGACTATAAAACAGTCCGTATTGATTGTAACGTACAACATCCGTCAATTTGCACAATCGGGATGGTCCTCAATTTGCGCTACTATCGCGCAAAAACAACTGCCGCAAACAATAGTAGAAGTACAGATTGATAAATCAAACGGCGGAAGGAGAGCGATGTTTCAGCTTTTACACAAAAACACAATCGGCGCTTTTACATTATATTACAGCAAAACTGGACAGTCGATAGACAGCTAGCGATCTTTGTTGGAAGCTCGAAATTAGAGACAATAGTCAGTTATTTTACGTTTTTTGCTTCAATTACGCGAGAAACCAATGTCGATGGTCAACATTCAATACTGTTAAACGTTACGCAGATAGCTCGGTGTTTAGCAGGTGCTAATTCGGCCATATCTGATGCGATTAATTCAGATGCTTGTTAAAATTCATCAGGGAAATATATAGTGAGCCAGCAACCCACTGTGAAAAGATCGAATACAAGGCAGAGCAAAATGTTGGATAAAGTCCATGATTTGCGACGTTTTTAAATAGCCACAGACGGGGATGCGAAACTCTTTTCTTGAATTGTGCGATCAGTAGCTATCGGTAGGGAAGAGATTATCAGTAAAGACATTTTATCTAATTTTTGTTTCTATTGTTATTGAAAAATAATTCAATTATTGACAATAAAGGATCGATTGGTCAAAATATTTATGATAGGTACCTGGCTGGGGAGAGCAATTCTGAGTTTCCGACTTTTTTTCTTTCTGAAATACAAATTAGACTTTGCTGGATTAATTGCTGTTTAATCTTAATTAATTCGACTGTGTTCCACTGGTGAAAGAATATCGATAAACTTCCGTGCTCTGAGATTTGATCACCTAATCGAAGTGTGTGTCATGACTTGAGGAATATCATGAAACGAAAATGATTGACAATATTGTTAATTGGTCGCGATTCAAAGCAGATGTGCGAAAGACAAGATACATTGCTTTGTTTCAAGTAACAGACGCAGCATATTCTTTTGAGAATCTCATCTAAGATGGACGGCTTTATTATAACGGTATAAAGTTCGACGACACGCCCCGAACCATTATGGAACTGTGAAATTTTGTTACTGTATACAACAATGTTCCCAACTTGCCGCGAACGTCACCGGGTTTGATGAAAGAGAGGAGAGTTTACGAGTAAACTTGAACCCGAAACTCCCGTATAACATTTCGTCCTTTCTCTTAAGGTTATTTATCAGTCGCTCACACGCTCATTCGTGAATTATTTTTCTTGTAATTAAAGGGCGTCACGTTATGATTTGCAGTATTTTTGCATTTCAAACATTTATAATCATGCACATGCTCGATTTGCGCTGATTTTGTTACATCTTTCATTTCACGATAGATAATCGATAACAGAACGAAATGTAATTTAAACACAAGTTTTACAGTAATAATACTAGAAACTGTAAAGAATATAAAATTGAAGCTCTAAAGTCAGATGATTTAGGTAATGTTAACTGTATAAAAAGCTCAGGAAATCAATATCTATTTTAGAGAATCAATATCTTTGCGTTTTATATCTTATTGTATATCGTTGATTATACGTGTTTTATATTTTACTTTACTATACTTTACAAGTCGCGCGCTTGCTCGCGCTTCCCCCCCCCCCCCCTCCACTTTCTCTTTCTCTCTCGTTTGCCTTCGTCCGGCTGCGCGCGGCTGACAATAATCGTCTTTTCGCTTGCTTTTTGCAGGGCGCTATACTGACAACCATGTTGGCGACGCGGAACTTTTCCAGTAAGTATGATGCACAGGGTAAGTACCTCCGGCCCTCTTCAGCGCTCTGTATAGACCACGACAGACAGTACTTTTATATCTCCCGTTAAACTTTACGCCCTCGTGTCTCTCTGTCTACGAATTCATCCTTCCAACAACCCACTCCGTGCAACAAAATAACTCACCTCGTCGTTCATTCGTCTTGCACTATCGCCATAGAGAATCTGTTCATCCGCCTTTCCGCTCTTTTCGGAAAAGGTGCTTCATAATGCAGTCGCAAAAACGCGATACACGTAATACTCAAAATCACTGGCCTTACGATAGAAATTCATACGAAATTAATCAACATGAAGAGAGAATTTTCTGTCTTATAATTTGGCGACTCCTTTCTTTCGACAGCACTTGACACGCCAAAGAAATTTTCTTTTCGCTAAATCTACCATCTTATCACTTCGTTACATATTTATGACAAATTATTGATTTTTTTTTTTTCTTTTTCTCTTGGGGTAATTTGAGAATTTACCGAAAGTTTTGGTATTTCTGTGAAAGCGATTGCAAAATAGAGCATCTGTGAACGTTTTTGCTCGTGCACAGAAATAAATTAGAGTCCTTTCCTTGATACTCTCTTGCATTAGACGTCGGAGGAGCGAGGATATGAATAGAGAATCGAAGGGTTACATCAGCGTTGATAATCGATATGCGAAAATCATCATCGACGCGGCTTTACAGTTAATTAGATGTTCATCAGGCAAACAATCGTGTTTCATCCTCACTCGCTCGGCACATTGGTTATCATGATACAATGTTCATCCCTGCCTACCTTTGTATCTCGTATAATCGATGCACATAGCTCGCACCTCATATCCTGCAAGGACCGTGGCACGTTACCCAGAAAGCAAGATCTTAGCGATTTGCTAAATACACGTCATCTACTTTACTTTACGTAATACGAGTGACATAAGCAGCATATTTAAAAAAATGTATCTTGCAATCGAGTAAATACTATATTCAAGTAATTTTTTTGTTTTTGCATTAACGCTCATCGCAAGATGCAAATTCTGGGTAACGCAAATTGTCGCAGTGGACTCAAGCAGTTTTCCTTTTCATTGAATCGTCATTGTAATCACGTCGTCGTTTGGTACAACTAGAAGGTACAAATCATCGAATCACGTTTCGTCGCTTTCGAAGTTATTCTTTCGATCGTCTAATGTGCCGTGGCCGTTTTTTCTTTTTTTAAGGACACAGTAAAATTGAGATTGCTATAATATTAATCACCAAGCACCTGCCTAAATGTATCGATCAACTATACTCCTTATTTCGTTGTTTGTGTAAATATATTCTTCTGACAAAATAGAATGTCAAAAATATATATTTTTTGAAAGTTACAACCATTTGTTAAGAATTTTAAGAATAAAAACAATTCATTGAAAATCTTACAATTCTGTAGGAACCCCTGAGTATAAAAGTAGAAATCCCGGCCACTGGACACTTTGCACATATATCGCGAGATATTTCTCGCGTCGTCGTGAAAATTGGCAGAAAAAATGCAAAGGCTATAGATATTTTTACACATATTTTACTGCGCGTACTCGTCGAGCGAACAATAATGGAGCACCGCTTTCCCCTGATGTTTTGTTAGCTTGTATTGATCCTCGGAGAAGAGCGTGCGTAAGACCTCATTAACAGCGAGTACGAAAAATGTGAGAAGAACCGCATCGGTCGGTCGTGTCGGGTGGGGATGGCCAATCTTCTGAAAATCTGAATTTCACATATCAGTTGCAGTGACACAACCCGCTCACTGTCGCGTATTACGAGCTTTCCAATCACATGTGTCGTATTGTCTCGTAAAGCTCGTCAAAACCAGCACAGAATAATCAATTAGATTAATTCGATCTGTTTGTTCTAAAATGGGCTGTAGTAATGTCAACTAACGTTGACAATATAGACTTTTGTTTTATTTTTCATTGATTTATTGTAGATTTCTACTAGATCAAATAAATTGTATTAATTTATTTCTCTCTATCTATACTATATACATACATGTAAGGAATAATTGAAATTGAAACAGAAAATTTTAGTTACAATTGAAACATAAGATAAATCTGTTGCAATTTTCTAAAAATTTATTAGAAAATAATGCTACACATACAATAATTATTTCACTCGAAATTGTCGATTATATTACCGCGCAAGACGTGTTCCGTGCGTGGATAAAAATTAGATTTACTGCAAATAGATGAAAACGGAGAGATCTGTAGCACGCAAGGATCTTCGAGGGATCGAAACGAAAGCTCAACTGTTTCGGTCCACTAGCGAGATATCCCTACGAATGACTGTATGAATGACGTTTTGCTAATGTTGATTATTTCCATATAATTGAACCAATGATTTCCAAACCTTTCACTTTCTTATTAATATATTTTTTGTGTCTTTTTAACTTTTTCACAAGCAAACATACTGAAAACACTTTTCATCTTAACTTAGATTGTAAAAAAATTAAATGACTTGTTTGGGGATTCTAAATTTTACTATTAGAATGTATATACTTAGAGCCCAATTGTACTAAAATTGTAAAAATTCGAATAATTATCTCTTTTTTTAAATAAATAAATTACTGATTAATATTTAATAAAATATTTTCCAACGTATTGCTTTTTCCTTAAAGTTTTTTCATGAGATTTTAGTTTGGAAATTATTGGTCGATGACTTGCGTACAAGCTCTAAATTTAGAGCAAATTGCGTGTTTTTGACTCTTATTTGCACTAAATATTTACTTACAAGATATATGAGATTTGTATTGTTGGGAAAAAAATAAAATTATCATCATAATATCTATCATTCATAAAAACATTAAGGTATTACGTAGATCACATTGTCTCTTCCTTGAAAAATAAAATAAGAAATAAAATGCATTGTTTTGCATTGTTTTTAAAAAAGGCGTAATAGCAAATAATACAGTTATAAAGTAAAAAATATATAAGAGTTGTCATTTTCGATTTATATCTCTACAGAACGAATATTATAGATATAAAGAATTCGATGAATTATTACAAATATTACTCATAGTTTATAAAATAATAAAATAAGCACATTCTACAAGTTGAAATTATTGTCTAAACATCTGTCGCTTTATAGTTTTTTGTAAAGTTAAAAAATAGAACTGCCATTTTGAGAGACGTGCAAATACGAGTCATTGTAGAGGCATTACATATATTTGCATATATATATATTTGCATACACACACACACACACACACACACATGTGTCACTGTTTATTTGCTCGACCAGCGTAAATACACGCAGGCTCCACACCCGTAATAGATGTTTGACAGATAATATGTCATGTTATGTATGGCATATGCATCTATACATATATATGCGCACATATGTGATATTAATAATCGAGATGACGTATCCTAGAATATGCCTCCCGGCCCCCCCCCCCCTCTTCTTCCCCCTCTTAGATTGACAAGTAGCTGAGCATCTTGCATTCGTAGATTCAATGATACACGTGTAATATGTATCTGTACCTATGCCACACGTGTTTTATTTCTGATACAATCAGTGTTAGAGTTGTGTACTTGTGTGGACGTGGGTGGGTGGGTTTGTACACACACACACACACACACACACACCTATGTATGGCTCTTTTTGTATTTTTTATTATAATCCAAGAACATGTTCACACGTTTACAAAGCGTCTGATAGTTGGGTAGTTTGCCGCACTGATTGCTGGATTAAACGAGTAAACAAATCAAGAATTTTCAATAACGGACTCGCGAATTTTTCGCTGCGATATTTGTAAGATTTTATGTGCGCAAGAAACAAAATCTTATTGAAAAAAATCATCGTTTGTTTTTTTTATTTTTAAGAAAGCAAACTAAATACAATGATTTAAATTTTTAGTATAAAATATTACTGAAAATTTTTTCCGTTTTCTTATAATCCAAATCAAAGGCTGTATAATTTGTGTTTTGTTTGTAACGCCTTGGTGATTTTTGATAAAGCAATTCCGATTAGAGTGAAATTTTTTATGCACAAAGTATCTCGATTGAACTTGGACATTTTATCTAAATTTCTAAATCAATTATTTTTATACAATTTTACAATATTATTAATATACATAGTGTTTGTAGAATTCTTTGAAGATTTAATTGAATTACTGTTATTATATTGTATTTTAAAGATAATACGCACGATATACCAGTTTAACAAAATGTCTTGATTGATATTTTCTATTCAGAAGAACTTTTTACATATTAAAAGTTTTTCGTTGCACTATTATGAAATCTATTTTTCAATATTCGGTTTTATATCTTGTGACAAAAAATTGTTCTCGAGCGGCGGGATGACACGATTTTTATTCACATACGAACAGCTTTTCCTTTTCGCACACTTGTCTCTTTGTTCTATATTCGGCGCGAGTCCTTTATTCGAGCGATTGCGAAACAATTAACTCTCCGTGTCTCGAGCTTTCCCTTTCCACTTCTCTCGCAAAAGCCGTCGGCAAAGCTCGAACTTTGACTTTAATTAAATTTATTTCACCGCCTTGAGCCGACTCTCTCTCGAACTCGAAGCTCTCTTCCAACTTTTCCACGTCTCCCCCTTCAGCACGCGACTCCATTCCCTACTTTGGATTCACTTTTTGTTTTCGCAAAGAGGGCGAGGGAGGATGGAGAGCTATTATCTTCGAGCTGCTGCTGGCGCATTGTTATTATGGAAATCGGCTTTAAAAGCCTTGCGGCAAACTTGGGGCAAAATACAGATCGAAAACATCGACGGTTTGTTTAGTCGCGGCCTGCTTTTCGCGCCGTATTTCGATCGAAACACAGCTTCGGGTGGAAGAAAGAAATCATTCTTGAAAGATTAAGAATTTTGTCGAAACTGTCGATATATTTGATATTCGGAGAAATGATATTGCGTTTTATATATCGCGTTAATGAGTCTAGACGCATAGAAATGATGCAAAGCGAGCTTTAACTTTTTATTTCGGTCATTTTGATTCTGGAAATCGAATTTTAAAAACACTAGTCGCCAAGGCGCATGTATCTAAATTCTATTGAAATCTCACAGCTGAACAATTGTGTCGGCCGTGATCTAAATCAAACAATACGGAATTGGCGCGCGCGCCCACACACACACACAAACAGAGCATTCATCTCAAAAACATTTATTACGAATCGATTCACTACTTGAACGGCTACTTGATGCATTACTTCATCGTAATGTTAATTGTAATGGGAAATTAAAATATCACTTTGGTCTTAAATTTAAGCATCTCTAATTACATCTGCAGAGCTCACCGCATTTGCGACATTAAAGCTCGATTACATCGTAATTCGCGCTATTACGAGCGGATCGCTTGTTACATCGCGCGTACACTTTACGGTTTCATTTCTGCTCGGTAGCCAACACTATCATGTTAAAGGAAACGCGTTTATTTCTGTGCCATTGAATAAGTTATGGCCTTTAAATAGATAATTCAGTCGATTTCGATTGTCGCGATAATTCACCATGTTTTTCTTTATATCGACAAAATATAATAACATCGAGCGTCACCGAAGATCTTTCTTATACAAGTGATTCTTATACATAACCGCAATGATCCGTTCAAAATTTCATTATAGATCACGGTAATCGCGTGTTAATCATATAATCACGCAAATCCCGTAATATTTACGGCAGATTACAGGTTTTCCGCAAACGATCATTGATCGATCGTCGAGGAACTGGCAGGTCCATTCATTATTCTCCAATTGCTGTATATCCACATATCCCGGCTTCTCGTTGCTCGCGTTCTTTCAGAGTTGGCATACGTCTTATGCGTTAATTACCTTCCAATACATATGAAGAGAAGTTGTCTCAGTAATGAAAAGAAATAAAACTTATGTCCGTGGCGGAATATTTATATGCTTAAGGAGTTTTTTGCCAAGAGAATTGTGTGTTTTACAAGACTCGGAAATAAAGTAAATTTATTGTTACAATATGTGTAACATGACTATATAAAATATGTGTTTAAAAAGAAATTACATTGCAAACTTTTAATGTATATTTATTGATCGGATAATAATGCGAAGTTTGTACTGGTTCAATAACGTATGATATTTTTCTTGCAATTGCAATATAAATGTCGAAATCGAGAATTATGTCACATTTCTCATGGCCATGAATTCCGGGCGGCGTGTAAATTTATGTATTGCGGACCACATATGCATTTCTGCCACGGATGGAAGAGAACGACGCGAATTACGTATGGGTTTATGAATCCCAAACCGCGCATAGAGCCTCGAGGGTTTCCGGGAAATCCATGAATCCATGAATTCCCGAACGAAGGCTATTCCTGTCTGCCGAGGCTGCCTGTTGAAAGAACGCGAACAACTGGCGCCGACGAATAAATCTCTTTTTCTACCTCTCTATCTACTATCTATGACTGCTTTTTTTCTTTTGACAAAAGTAGACCGCAGCGCTCAAAGTGGGTCGGAGGTGCAAAATGAACATATTTCTATATTCTTGCGACAATTTTTTTTCGTCAAATTCTTCTCGATTCGATAATAGAGTAGGACCCGAGTGATGAACGATATGCCGCGCACACACGAGTCCTTGTATACACGAGACGATACACACGATACAATTGACGATATCGAATCGTGAGGGACGATCGATTTGCGAGAACTTTCGGCTGAAATCGAATTTTGCTGTCGGTGAAAAACGCGATGTAAAACATTGTGTTCATGATTTATCTCAGGTTTTGAAGGACCATCTTTTGAAATTTATGAAAACAAAAAAAGAAGACTTTCAAATATTTTGTTTGAATAGCATAAATTGCAATTTGTACTTGAATGTACTTTAAATTTCATAATTATATTGTACACTTTTTTCTTTTTTTCTTTTTTCTCTTTTTTCCTCCCTTTTTTTTATTAGTTTATATTGCTATGAAATCTAGTTGTAAAATGTTTTTTAAACCGAGAAAAATCGGCAAAACATATTACAAGAACGACGCGTTCTTCTATCAACATAAGAAATCGGTGCGAGAATCAAGTCCTTCACGCGAGATTCAGCACGTTGATCCGATTAGAAAATGCCGTGATTTCGTACGAATCGTCGTCCCTCTCTGATATTCTGGCACGCTTTCGCTTTCCGCCTGATTCTAATTGTCATATTAATTCTATATGTCGCTCTTTTCCCGCTCATGCTATTCATACATTTCTCTCTTGCACTTGCTATTTGCGTGTAAATACGCGTACACATATTTTGCTCTCATACGGCTCGAATGTTTTGCATTAAACACTGCTTTATTTTTCTCTCACTTAACAAAATTATTCGCATTTTAGCAATCTCAAAGTAATACTATCTTTTGAGTCAAAATTACTAGATGTAAATCAGATTAAATATATAGGTAAATGTGTCAACATTAAAAGCAAATTTTTTCAAACCCGCGATGTAGACTTTTTTTTTAGTAAATATAAATAAATTCTTCAAATTTCACTCTCCTAAGAATGTTGTATGTAAGTGGTCCAATGAATCTCACTTTCGGAAGATTCTGAGAAAGTAAGAAAAAAAAAAAAACATTTTGATAATGATTTATAGAGAATTGAAACGCTCTTTGTGAGCGATGTCGCCAACAATTACGCAATAAAAATATATGCAAGGAGTATTAACTCGTTTGTCAATCAGACAAACGACTCGGTCTATTCGCGCAAATTCTTGATGATATTTCACCGAGAGATTTCATTTTCGTTCTTCTCGAGCGGTTCTTCGAAGGCTTTTTTTCCGTATTCACTGACTCTCATCAATGAGCATATTTGACACCGTAAAAAAACGCTTGTTTTTTATATGAAATTTTAAGAAAAATAAAAAATGCTAAATTACTAAACAAAAATGTTTAGTAAACTCGTCAAATTTCTTCAGTCAGAGATGAGTTTAAGATTATTTTTAATTGTATATTTTCATGATTCATCTCGTTTCTTTCTTTCTTCTCATAAACATATTTTCTGCTGCAAACTAATCGAAACATGGTCATGTGTTCTCCGTACCTTGAACATATATCTTTACACAACAGACAGATGTATAACAGATAACAGTTAAAGAATTCGCTTTGCTACATTGAATTGCATGCATCCTGCATGCATTTACATTTGTACTCTACATTCTTCGTACCTTTGCTTATCTAAAACTTTTAGAAAAATATGAAAGTTTTAGTATAAAAAGCATATATAATGTGTGCTTATTCTCTCGACGAAAAACAACTATTTACCACTATTTGCTGCTATCATCAAGTATTCTATATACATTCTTAGAATTCAGATATCGTGATTTCACTAGATAAATGAGGGTAGAAAATATTTCTTACAACTAAGTTGATGCATCGATACAAGTTGCATGAATTGAACGTGGTGTCTTGCTGCATGAACTCGTCTATTTGTTAGATATAACGTTTGACTTTTTCACTGATTTTTATCTGTTTTTTTTTTGTTTTTTTTTGTTTTTTTTGTTTTTTTTTTGTTTTATTCTTTAAAATGTATTTATTTCCGTCACAACAAGTCCCATGCATAACTCGTCATATTTGTCCTAGATCTTCATTTCCGGCGATCTTGAGTCACTGTCTATCGCCGTTTATAAATGTGTTCTATTTATTAAACTTATTTTTCTTCTACTTAAAAACTTGTGATTTACATGTACGCAAAATATAGACCAATATTCACTTTAATTTTGCATGCTAAGGACACGGATAATTATTATAATACATTATTGATAGTAATCATAAGAGAAAATATTGCAATTATCGACCAAGTTGTTAATTAACGGATTAAATCGAATAATCGAACTTATTCGGGCTGGAAGGAACGTAAAATATTTGAATGAAGAGTGCAGTAAGATCGGAATAATTAAAACAAAAAAATTTAATAATTAAAACTTTCTTTCGTATATGTGCAAATTGAAAGAAAAATTTATATTGTGTACATAATTCTGCACGAGTTTTTTTTCTGACGCAACAGTAACTTTATTTATGTGTATATATATATATTTTTTTTTATTTAAAAAAAATTTTTTTAATAAACTCAGAGGCTACGACGCGTAAAAGTGCAAGAGCTTAATTGCGCGATAAATGCAGAAGAGAAATCGTAATTATGATCGTGATTATGACCGAGCGGGAGTATCTCGCGCGACATCGAGAATAAAAACGTAAAATGATGCAGAAATCTGAAATTATTCATAGTAGCTACGTTGATCGCTCCGGATGAATAAATTGCGACGGATTTAATTAACATTTTATTTCGATGCGCACGATATATATCTATATCCATCTATCTGTCTGTCTGTCTGTCTGTCTGTCTTCCGAAGGAAGCGGGTGAGATTAACATTTAGAATTTAAAGCAAACTCGTGTTTTTAACTATCGCATTAAGAAAAGATCTCGGTAGCAACGTTCCTTCCATGTTCGAGCGTTCGACGTCAACAATAATATACGGTCGGAGTACGTTTTAAAATCGAGAGACGTTCTTAAGGTAGTTCCGATGGAAACGCATCGAGAAACAGATCTAAACAAACACCCGAGATTTTCAAGTACATTCGTCCATTTAATCCAGTCTCCGTCCTGGTCTGTATTCTCCAGATCACATCCCGTGATTTGCAACGGTGTGCTCTATTTTGCTTTTGTCTCTTCTTTCTTTCTGATTCCTACTTTATACTCTTTAGCATTCCTTTTGCTCTATTATATCTTTCTCGACATTTCTCTTCCGTTTCCACTTTTCCTTTGCCCATTTACTGAAACACTCTACGCACTCCAGGTCGAAGCATCATCACGAAGAAGGGCGATGGCTCTCAAGTGAAGGAATCTACCGATAGCAGCACAACGATCGAAGATGATGACGTTAAAGGTAGGAGATTCCCATTTTCTTTTAACGCATCGCGTCTTTTTCTCTCTTTTTGTGGCTAAAAATCGTGCTGAATCGGTTTAGCAGTCCGTAATTATTAATGAACTAGTTGTAGGTTGTCACCGGGGGGGGGGGGGACAAGAGCATAAGTCGATCTTCAGGATCATAAATATTTTAAGTTTAAATCAGATTAGGTGAGCCGACTTTTGTATCGCAAGCGGTTAATTAATTTGAAAATTTTTTTTATATTTATACACTGTGAGAATGCAGAGCACGCGAATACTTTTTTTTCTTTTTTTTTCCTTTAATTATCTCATGTAATATCATCCAAGTTTCTGAAAGAAAATCGCTTGGTAATTTCGATGCAACGAGCATTTGTTTAAAAGATGCTCTGTCGACGTCTAGTGCCGTTAAAGCACGTTGTCTTTGTACTCGATAGCATGGATTGAATTATGATGAATAGTGTTGCTGTCGCCGTTGTGGCATAGTCGTGTCACGCAAGCAGAATAATCGCGATGATAATTCCGATAAGGATAGCCCGATATACAAGTTCGTAGTTCTCGGCAGCAATTCGCGATATATATATTCACGCAGCTTCTTTACCACATGTACTCATTAGAGGGATTTAATGAGAAACTTGTAGCAAACGTCAGAGAAACTATAGTTGGCAGCTATGATCTATTGCACAAGTATTAGTATTAATAACGTGTAAATGTTTTCAGATTTCTAGACAATATATCTATTTAATATTGATAAATAGTATCTTATCAGTTTTAGGTTTTATTTTTTTCCCTTTCTTTTAAACAGTTTCTTTAAACACTATCTTGTAAAATTTGATTAAATTTTATCAGGTAATATTGATAACTTAACTGTTAAGAGTAAATTTGCTACAAATGCAAGTATGACTATCTTAAGATGCTCGAAAGCTCGTTTTGACAACGAATTAAAAGCATCACAGCGTATTCGTACAGAACGTAAGAGATTACGATGCATCAAATTCTTTGCGTGTCTGCGCGAAGGATGCATAAACTAGTTGAGTCAGTTGTTTTTCTAATCTTTTTTTCGTTCGATGCAACTTTACGCATCGATACCATGTTTGTCGTGCAACTACTGTTGAGAAATTAATTAATTGTTGCACATTGATATAAGAAGCGCGCGAGTGTATTGATTCGTTATTAGAAACGGTCTTCTCATTCTTACGTGCAAGTCGATCGTTGGATAATAGCTCGAGTAGTTAAATATCCACTCGTTGCTTACCCTCCGATCCTGCCACCCTTATCCATTTTGCGTACACCTGTGCTCCTGATACACTCATGAATACATCGCAAAGGTTTGAAAATAATATCGATTGCTACAAAGATGATCATGATTTATTGTTATTTAAAGCAAGGAATATTGACACAATTAAATCGTAGGATGTGACTGTAAAACCGATATACATGTATGTATGTATGTATGTATGTATGTATGTATGTATGTATGTATGTATGTGTATACATATTGATTTTATAAAGCTAAACGTTAGAAAATAAATAGTTGATTTGTTATGATATTTTTTATTGGCTTTTTTTAGTGATTTAATTTTAACTAAATGTAATAGTGTCAAAGATATGATTTCTTTGCTATGTACTCCGAGGTATCCCGATCGCAAAACTAGAAGTTTGCCTCTCCTTCAATTCGTAGAAAAATCGATCTTGCCTTGATCTTTCTTTCTCTGCCTCTGTAGATAGATATTTTAACTATACTCTTATCGAACGACCTGTCCCGTATTTCACTTGTCTCCCACTTGTCCGCGTTCGATCGCACGTGTATGCTCTTCAAAGTTACCCGAAAATACTTGCTTCTACAATCGAAGAGCAACACAACCTAGTCGATAACAATATACAATTCCGATTATCTACAATTTTCAATTATTATAATTTAAAATAATAAACAATAAATTAAAATTTTTTTACTTTTAATCAAATAATCAATGTAATTTTAGAGTTTTTATCGAGTATTTTCACAAAGTTAAAAGCTTACGATCGCTGTGATGAAATTAAAGAGATATATAATCCTTTTTGCTGAAATTACAAGCCACTTGTATAATACGATCTGTAAAGAAATATAAGAAATTCAATTCCGAATGCTTCTATAAAACCTCTAGAGACCTTTATTTCCATAGATTGTTTGAAAAAATAAGAAATAGAACCGACAGATACATTTATTTAACGTATAAATGTATATTATGTGCTTCCATCATTGGTCCAACACAGAGGTATCAAGTTCTTATATCTACTCGAGTTGTCGTTCGAACCAGCCTTTTTAGTACGAACTGTCTTTCAAGTTTCTAACTCTGACAGTCTATGTCTCACAATTTCTCTATTGAGCGGTTATACGTATATCCTCTAGCTGTATCTGATACACGCACATACGCATACATAAAATATGACAACGCATCCAAAATCTATCTTTTTTCACTTTGTGAAAATAACACAGTTTAGAGGGTGATCAACAATTATGAAAACACTGTGCCTCATAATGTATAACGCAGTCCATGCTACAAGTTGGTAATTTATAATTTACAACTTTTAAAGAAATTGCTTTGTATCTCTCGTACAACTCGCGTTAATACGAAAGAAAATACACAAATCACTTTTGACAAGTGGGCTTTTGTAAGCACGTGGCTCCTAAAGAAATCTTGATACTATTGTGTGTCTGCACATTTTGTTATATATTATATTGAGGTGTAATGCGAGCGAAGATTGTAGAACAGGTGCATATATTTAATGAACAGACGAATGATTTTCAGTTACTCAATTTAAAATTTCATTTGATAAAATCACATTTTAAAGCAAAGTTTACTTTATATACGTATGTACTTTTTATTTAACTGTGACAATGAGTTTTGGCTTGAAAAAAGGCAGACATTTGCGAATGATAATGAATTAACTTGACTTGATCACTAGATTATAATTACAGCGATACATATAATATTATTAGATTATATTTATTGAAAAGTAGATTTGCATTTTGCGCACAAATCGAGAAAATACAATCCAAACTATCTTTGCATGCATCCACATTCCTCTCTCCTCTCACAGCATATAATTTGCCAAATTTTTCGGAGACAATATTTGCTTTTGAGTTGGAAACTTTATAAAACATAAGGAAATTTCTCAGCGTCACGCGAATACATATCATCTTTCGCTTATAATTGACATGCTATTAAATTAATTTTTAGAGAGATGGAAGAAATTTATTAATACGTATGTTTATTTTTAAATCTCTGGATATTTTCTTCGCATATGTATTAATAACGGTCAAATTTTTCAAAATTTACTCAATGTCTATTATTATTTAGCAATATTCTATGAATATTCGCGCGACTCTTTATTTATGCGGCTAACGGAGTCGGCAATAAAATCAACTAAATGAAAGCGAATCTACACTATTTGCATTTGAACACACGCACCCACATAGACACAGAAATTAGGTAGTTTCACGCGCACACACTTGTCTATTTCTCATAAGCAGACACCACAAGGCAAAGCACCAAATATATTAATATAATACATGGAACAGCTGCGTGACAAGTGATAACACTGTTGTTTTGCGCCCCCTCTTCTCCCAGCTTCCTCTCCTTCCACTTCCTACAGCGATGTTCACAAATCCATAACACACATAGGTAAATGACGTGCGCACGCACATTTGTAACAGCAAGTGAAAGAGTGCACCGTAATTGAATTACAGATGCCATAGACTGGGTGTAGCTCTCTTCGAGGTGTGTTTCATTACATCATTCGGCTGGAAATATGATCATTGCGATTGCATCTGTTTGCATTTAATTATACACGCATACAATTACGTGGGACGTAGCAGCAAATAGAGGAAACACTCACGTGTGATACACATCTGTACAAAACATCTTTCACAAACGATTAAACGATGAATACAGCACGAGTAATCATACTCTAACGTAAGCACCGTGCAGTTGGACACGTGGAACGATTAATCGACACTCAATTATTTAACAGTTCGAATATGGCGTACATATATATATAGTCTGGTATTCTCGCCTATTTTTCCGCTCGGAATAAAAACGATCGATATTTCGGGGATCTGTATAACAAGGGTGACGGTAAAATTTCGATGAGTGAAAATTGGCGGTTGAGTACGTACGTCAAAATGTCTTTAAATTTTGATGCAATTCCACAAGGAGTATGAATACCAATGAAAATCGGTCTGTGTTTACTCCGCAGCACTCTTTGCATTCCGCGAAATAAAAGCAGAAGTCACTCTAGTTTATACGGCAGATCCTATTTCTTCGCATTCACAAATCGATCCTAAAGTTCACTAATTTCGTGTCTACGATCATACTCGCATCGATCTCGAGCTTCTGTTGTGTGCCGCGAGATTCTTTCCTTTCCACATATTTTCTTTTCAGGAATAATTGATTGGCGATGTGCACGCGTGCGATATCACAATCAATCTGTAGGTGCGTGCCGCGCAAAGTAAAAGTCTACCACTATCTGCAACCACCATTATCATAGCTCCTTTGCTAATGTGATGCATTTCTTTTTGGCGATTATCTCGCAGGCGATCATTAATCGTAAGACACTTAAGATCGACTGTAATTTATCGAGCGCTTTCTCGCTCGCGCGATCTAGCGTAAAGAAATAGTTGATGATCGTAAACGCGCATTTGGTAGATGTAGTTTTGCAAATTTAAACGCGGTCTTTTTTATCTACTTGTATTTTCTTTCATCGTAGTGCTCATTGAAGAAAATCAGTTTGTAGACTAGTTCAACTGTATAGAAATAGCTGCGGCGAGTTAATCTTGAACGGCTAATTCTATTCATCGATATTGACGAATAATCGGCTCCTTCCGACATAACGTCTTTTTTTTGTCTCTTGTCATGTTTTATTTATCTTGCGCTATATAAGATATTGGAGTAATTACAGGAAAACATGTTTGCAAGAGGTAGCCTTCCAAGATTAATAGTATAAATAGTGCTATTAATAGTAGTAGTAGTAACAATAGTATTATTTCAGCGTCAAGCCTCGGTGAACGATTTGTAAGCAATTAGTGATTAAAGACCGATTAAATTTATATGAAATTGTCGTAAACATAATAAAAATAAAATTTAGATAGATGTAGACGATTTGTTCACGTTATAGATGAGATAAAAAAAATTTTTCATTTAACATAATGTGTTACACGCGATAACGGCATCATCCGGTATAATCACATATTTTTTCACACTGATCTCGATGTTTCGCTATTCTTTTCTACTTATTCATTCTCTCGTTTACGTCAACTTTTCGATGGCCAGTGACCACGATCGCTCCGGCTCACGCTGCTTTCGCTTGCGTTTTCTGTTGCAGCATATACCTATTCGTCTTTTGCCTCTTAAAACTGTAATTAGTGCAGGAAACTCTTAACTTTCTCGCTGTGTTAAGTTTCTTTACGAGTCACAGTTACGCTTTGATCCGAACAAAAGACGCTCGTTTCGACTCACTTTTTCAGCTGCAGGAGAATTGTTTCATCAATCATAATTTGCGAGTTCTTTTGATTATGAGTAATTTGACTATGAGTAACGAATTGACAACGAGCGACTTTGTTAGAGTCAATGATTTCTCTTGACTTGTCTATATGTTACTGGTATTTGTATTTGTCTTTTTTGCGCTTCCCATAATTTTTAGCAGAATTTTCGACATTCGGCTTTGAAATTATTTTACACGTCAAGTGTATATTAGTAGTGCAAAAATATTTTCGATTACAAGACTGCGAGCTTCTTAGGCAACATATCACAATTATCGTTTCGCACGTTTAGATCTCATCTCGGCATATTTGTGTTTTCTCACGTCCGCACACACTTTTTTCTGATATTGAAATTTTTTTTTTTTTTTTTTTTTTTTTTTTTTTTTGTCTGCCACGTTTCAAGAGCTACGTGTTGTAATTCTTTCTTGAAGAAAAATATAATTTTGAATTTGATTTTGTCTCTCCTGGTTTTATCATGTGAACCAGAGCGATGGAACAAGATATAATAAATGAATGAAGCCGCTTATATTATCGGTAAAGAAAAAATACAGAAATTTTTAATTGCTGTGACGTCACAATTGTGAATGAAAATATAATCGCACAGATGATACATGCTATTATATGTATATAAGTACCATATAAGTGAATTTGCTTGAATGTCTTTGTTTTATTTTAAAAATCTGTGGCAAGAGATGCAGTCAGAAATTCGTGGCAGTGATAATGAAAATCATAGTTTTCGTCATTTTCACAGATCACTGGCGTTACGATGCCTCACAGAGAAAAGTACAGCCAAGTAGAATGACCGTTTAATATGATTGAATAGGATAATGGAATTAATTGGATTATTTATATCCTATTGGATATAAATAAAATATTAGTTTAGATATAAAGCGGATAAAAGTTACGAAAAACTTTCGATTGTATTATATTAGCAATGTAAAGAAATTCGGAGATTGAACGATTAATATTGTTTCAACATAAATATTGCAATTATTGCGTCATTACGTAGATTTAGAGTAAAATTGATTTTGAAGCTTCCGGTAACAAATAACGGAGGTTTGGAATTTCGTTCAGTTTCGCTCGCAGTACTTTTTTCTACATGACTTTTTTCTCCACGTGCACCGTTTGTGAAGGCGATCGCATATCATCGCGATCGTGTCCTCAAACAATCTCTTCACTCTCAAACCCTCCGCTTCATCACACGAATACGTCCTTATTGTTAGATTTAGGTCACTATTACCGTCACGTCAAACCTAAATTATTCACACATACATATCCCTCCCCCCCTCTCTTTCTCTCTCTCTCTCTCTCTCTCTCTCTCTATATATATATATATATCTATCTATCTCTCTACATCTCCTCTCTCGATTCGTCATAAATCTCGATTCTCGATGTTTAGCTCCAGTGTTATGGATTTATGAACACCAGCTCGTTAGAGTTTTGTTTCCCCCTTTCTTTCTTTAGCACTTCTGTCACTTTTCCGCTTCTCTTCTTGTATATCTTTCATTCCGACTACTTGATTTGTCGACTGAAATAATTCGCCCACGCAACAACCGATTTGCAATTGACTTTATTCCATTCACTTTTTCCTAGAGTTGTTTCGTTCTGTATGTCCGTCTCTTGCACGCTTCCTAATTATTGCACGCTCTCTCGCCATCGTACGGCTTTTTGTAAAATTGCGAGTCAAGTACTGAAGAGATTATGATATAGGGATTTTAATCGCAATGAAACTCTCTCGCGCAATGTGCTTTCAAAAATAAATACAGAATTTTGTGTGTGATTCTATCAATTATAATCTCAAGATGGTTATCAAAAATACGCATAGGTAAAATACAACTTGACAGATTATAATTTAATTTAGTTGGCAAATTTAGTTTTAAAGAATTACAGTAAGATTAGAATTATTGGTTAGCTAAGGGAGTTGGAAGAACTCGAAAATTTAATTAAGAATTTGAATTTTTTAGATTGGAAAGTTGAAACATCTAGACGACACAAGGTTGAAAAACGCTAATGTGCCTCTGTTATATAAAGAATTCTATTATATGCATATAAAACAAGTTAATTACATATTGATTACTGAATCGATTCAAAATCTATCAATATTTCTTGATTACATAATTTCTCATCGAGTAATCGATCAAGCGTCTCGAAGAGATGTTGTCAAAACCGTACGATTGGCTCGATCTGCACGTATTGTAATTTTTGTTCACTTCCCTACTACTCGAGACACGATCGATACGTATCTTTATGGACGTATTGCACGTTCTTATTGCAAAGTGCACCTTCCACTATCCCGGTAAACCAATAGATTCTACTCCGATTTTTTTGGGTCTAATGACTGTTTCTTTTCGATATGTCGTTCGATGGCAACGCACGCCCCGTTCCCTAAATAAAAAGGAAATAAAGAAACAATAGTCGAATCGTGACACTTTCGATCGTTATGTTGTCATTAGTTAGAAACTCGATATTAGACATTACGTTGTACCCTCGTCGTCACGGGTTGAAGTTATATTCGTTATTGCGATATGTGTTATCAAGTGTTATCGCGGTATAGTGGCCGAAACTCCGTGCAAAATTAACTGCTTACCAGCACTTTTGCGCTTTGCATGAAAATATCCTTCTTGTTATCACGTGATTTTGTTTCCACTAGTTATAATATTAATATGTCAAATACGCAAATCAATAATATTAAAAAATATCATGTGCAGTAGCAATATATTTGACTTTAGAGCGCTTTATTGAGATTTAAGTGCGGTTTGCGCACTGGGAATGTCTACTTGGTGAAAATCTTGTATAAAGAGGCATGAAAACCCATCATTGGAAGTTGGATAAACTTGAGTCTCTTTGGAATCATCAATTAACAATTGAGATTACTTTTGCTGAAGAAAATTGAGTTGATTTTACGACCAATAACACGCGAATAATATGCGAAAATTTGAATATATTCTTGACATTGTCTTGTAGTTCATCTTTATTGCTGTATTACATTTAATAGCAACACTTGTATCGTATATACTTATTTACATTGCCTGTGGTAATGATTGTTAATATTGAATGTTAATATTGAATGCACAACGAAGAATAAATATCGATATTATGGAGTGCGGCTATTTACCGGTACAACAAAAGTTTAATTTGCGAAGCTGGCAAAAGAGATACTCGTTCATTTTAAGGCAAGAGGAAAAGTATAGCTATAGCGATCTATATATCGCTTCTACATTTACAATCGCTACATGCATATGTGCACATGCCGTATCGAGTGATCGATCTAATCTACTTTCTTTGCTCGTAATCGTACTCGTGAAATGTTTATTTATTAACATGAACTGTTAATATCGACTATTCAACAAATGTTTTATAAAAGAATTAACTTTCGAGCGTAATTCATTCAAATGACAATTCTGTAAAGTAAATCATGGAACTTTTATATTTATGATATGCATAAGTAATATTATAAATCTATATTTATATATATATATATATATAGCCGTGGACATTTACTTTTTTGCGACATGTTCTTTTGAGAAAAGCAAATATTACCCACTTAAATGTCATTAATAGATCGACGAAAGCGACAAACTTGGCTTTTCGTGACACGTGATATGTGGTGTTATCGATATCTCATATATTAGGCGTTATGTAATGATAAAATATCGTATTATTTGTATACGTGATGTATGTGTGTATGTTGTGCAGAGGATAAGAAGGGCGGCGTCGACCGGAGCAGCACGGTCATTGCCAAAGAACCCGAAGGTAAAGCCAACTTTCGAGACCGAGAAATGTTTCGACGTTTCGACGTTTCTCCTTCTGTGTATTACATATATGATTGGCGTATGTACGTATATACGTATGTACGTATACACGTATATCTATATCGTGCATTATTTTGTGAACGTCCCGCGTCATCGCACTGGCCTCTCCCATCCGCGCTTTTAACCGTAATTAAACGTAATTGAACTAGACGTATTTTGATTACACATTCTTATTAAAAGTAAAGGAAAAGATGGACGTGTGTATCGTCATGTGAAAACTTGAAAATCGAAAAAATTGCACAACGAAACATTCGTATACACAATCGTATAATAACCTAATCACAGTCATCACAATTTTATGTTTTATAGTTTTCTCTTTTGTAGCAATTTACGAAAATACCCGTGCAATCTTTACCGACTGATTGCGATTCCTGCTAATTACGATCCACTCTCACTTTCATCCAAAAAATCGCGCACCATTTATCTGTAAATTTGTAATTACGTGTGAAAATCGTTCCAACATACATATATACATACTCGGGAATATCCACAAGACATTAGTGAGGATATTAATGAAGATGGGATTGAGTCGAAGGAAGGGAGAGGTCATACTTACGAAAGGCTCCGCGCGCCGAATTCCGAGCCCGAGCTTTTTTGCACCTTTTTTGTTGCCGCTTCTGCGAAAACGTACAGTGGATTTACCGTCTCTCCTCTCGCGTGTCGTCTACTAACCAAAGAGAATATATATTCTTATTCTATTTCCTCTTACGTACGTTTTGGTCCTTCTCTAATCAATCTGAAATTAATCCCTCAATTTGGAACGAGGATCCTCCTGAGTCCCTTTACAATATACCGCACGATCGCAAAACTGCATTTCGCAGCCGATGTGATTGCAGCTAAAGCTATTACACTGTCTCACGGATAATCGTGATTGACATTAATCAAACTGATCGTCGAATCTTGCGACTGCAATACGTCAGGCTGACGTATACCCTTGGAATTGCTGTATTTAAACATCTGTGTTTATAATCAGGCCGCGCGACAGCTATTAGTTTAATTACTAGCTCGACTCGGTCAATTTCCCGATTCCTACATACATATATGTACTCGTGCAAAGTGATAAACTTTTTGCAAATAGAAAAAAAGGATTAAGCGGAACATTTTTATCTTTACTCTAATTATTCTTATTTTTGTAATTGTACTGTACAACACTCATATTTGAACCTGAGTTTTTTTCCATCTTAAAGGAACATTAATTATCTTGATATTTGCTTGAAAAATCGCTAATAAATTGTAAATTGTTGATGAGTTGTATCATTTGTAATCGTAATCGGAAACAAATTCCGAGATAATAAAGTAACGAGTTATAATGTCAATGACGATCGTCAATTCTTGACACAGTCGAGTGCGTAAACGCGTATAATGAAGTCGTTGCTGTTAAATTAGTTATAACTATGTCGTAAGAGCGGCACGAAAGTGACGTTGCAGTGATAATTAACTCGAAAGTTATAATTAAGCTCTGACTAACCAACTAACTAACTAACACGGGGAGCTCGCTCAAACGCGAACGGTTTAAGCCTACGTAAAATTAACTATAGAGTCGAAACAAAGCTGGACTTGGACCTTACCTTGGTCTTCTTTGCTGGAACGATAACTATTATGTAATAGCTTATTTGTCGAATGATTGTCGTTCCATTTTGATCAATAACGCGAGAGAAACATATAAATTATCAGTAAGAGAACTACATTATTCAGAATGTATTGTATATATACCGGTATTTCGATTTTTCCACCCTTGAAACTTCTTTTATCATCTTGTATAATCCAATAATGCAAATTAAATTATTTTTCGCGCAAAACGAGCTTTTCTTTCAAACTTTGACTTGTATATTTTGGATAAATTTCAGAAAAAACGTACTCTATTTTTTTACTGATATTGGCACACTATTCTCTTATTTAATTTTTTTTATCGAATCGACGATTTTCGCGACGGGAAGACACCGCGGCGCCACTTCGCTTCATGCTTGCGTCGTGCGCGTTCGAGACGTACTGTCAACAGAAATACCTGGCCGCTTGGCATTACTTGAAAATAGATCGGCAGCGGTTCGAGACGTGTCGTCGTTCGCTCGAGGCCACCTCGCGAGCGAGTGAAATTACGTTTCGTCGCGTCGGCTGATTGTAAATTTTTTTATTACCACTGTGAAAAAATTTGCTTTTTTCTTTGATAAACACGACTTTTTTTACGTTTTAATTGTATCATTATCGGATAATATCGAGCGCCGGTCGCTCGTGACTCAGTGCTTTCCAGAAGATCGTCACAATGTTGGCTAACAGTATACCCAGTTCATCAAAGCACACGGAGAATTATGGTGAGTCTCTGGAGATTTTTTCCAATGACTTGTTATATTTTGTACTCCAATTTTATTACACGTGTGTACATTCACGTTTATTTCGCATGACTACGTTTTGCTTTTGTGTTAATTTTTGTTTATTCGACATCGAGTAGTTGATAAAAATACTTTTCGCGTTTCGAGATTTGTCATTGGATAATTGAGAAAATTGCTACTTTTGTAACAAAGTTTTATTTGTGTCTTAAAATGGATGTCAAATAATTAATTTTCTCACAATTACAATAAAAAATTTTATTTAATTTATTCATAATTCTCTGATGTTTTCAAATTCTCTACAACTCCTTACATGATTTTTTATTAATCCGAAATTACTTTTTTGTCAGAAAGAGAGTATCGATTTTGAAGATAAATGTACACTTGTTCTCAAACTTGAAACCCTGGTGAGAAAAGTTGAAAATTTATCGATTCTTCAATAACTCTAGGGTTAAGAAAAAGTCTACAAAACAAAATGAGCAAAAAATTGACAGAGATAATTCAAGTTAAATGTAAAGTTGCATGGAGCCTTGGGAAGAACTTGGTACACTGATCGTTTCTATATTAGTGGCGAACTGTCTTTAATGGCTTTAGCTGTCTTATGCAAAATGAACTTTCGACGCGGCTAAATGCTACATATAGTCGGATCATGATCCGACACACAGACGCGTTTCTAGGATCTATTTCAGGAATAAAGCTTGTCTATGCGAATGCACAAGCGAAGTGAAAATTTACCGCGCGGCTTACATTCTCGTTCACTTGCGCAAGACCCTTACTATACGCAGACAATCGTGACTGACGTCGTTAATAATGCTGATCGTTAATTAACAGATTAAATCCTCCTTTCCTCGTGCGAGAAAATGTTTTCAGCACGTAACTCGTAATCTTTAGATTCTCGCTTTTTACTCACAAGCTCTATGCTTTTGTCCACCTTGAAAAAAAAAAATATCTCGATATTAACTCCGACTTACGTTTGTCATGACGAAGCTGAGATGATCGATATGGCTCGATGGATCGTTGTGCTAACGCGTCTACGATTAACATAAATAGGCCGCACATTACAAGCAACCGGTCCAATAGCGAGCGACTTGAGCTTTGCGACTTTGCCTTGTTTCGAACGCGCACCCTCGTGACAGTTGATCGATACTCAAGGCTTCTCATACGTTTTCTCGTACGTACCGTTCTCGGTAGCACGCTCAAATAAATCATGGATCGCGTCACGACTCACTTCCTGCCTTTTGCGCTTGTGACCGTTTGCGTCCGTGTTGTTACTCTGATCAGTACACTTGTTCTCGAGAGAAACAAGTGCTCTTGCCGCCCCCTCCCCCGCCCCAAAACAAAAGCTCTTGGCTCCTTCTAAGGTACATCTTCGAGCAGCCCCGCGACAATGTCCGCGTTCTCCAGGGTGGTCGGCGCGGCTACGACCATGACGAACAAGCAGCCCTCGAACCAGACTCAAGCCCAGATTCAGGGTACGAGCAACCCCCTTGGAATTGCCGCGGTTCTCCTTCAAGGAGCCCAAGGTAAATTCAGGATATAGTTCTAGTGGTGCAATTTGATGCGAGTCGATGCATTTCCTACACTCTTCGCGACAATTCTAGACAGTCTCTGCTAAACAAATGAGGAATTTTTTCTTAAATTTCTTGAAATGAAAGTTTTAGACAGTTACGATTTTCGATTTTAAATTAGAATCTTGTATAATTTAAATGTGAAGTATATATTCTTGTTCGTGCGATATCTCTGCGCCTTCAAATCTAGAAATTTAAGAAAAAGTTTTCCTCCAAATCTTTGGATCCGTCAATTTAATAATAGACAATGGAATTGCTCTTGAACGGACGGATTGTGAGAGAAAAGTACGGTGGAACGGATTGTGGCAGGTGTTCGTTGATAGATGACCTTTCATTCGTCGATTGATCCGCGCGGAACGTCGAATTCATCCAGCTTCAATTACGATTGCAATGGATTACGCCGCGTTGATGCAGCAAGCGCGAATTGGTAAAGGGGATTATTATAGCGTGGGATTACAGCGATGATTTCGTTCAAAAGTATCGGATATTAGTTCTCGAAATATTTTTCAGCCAAATGTTTTGCGGAGCGATAAATTCTGTCTACAATAGTTGATGCATTTCCAAAATTGTCTTTTAAGGATACATTTGTTTTTTTCATCTTAGTGCGAGAATATTGTATTGTACGTTGGCGACTTTCTCATCGTATATAGAAATACATCTCGAATTCGATCTCGCGATCTCGCGTGTGAAATGATGATCCGAGAGAATGGTAAGCTTAGAAAGGTGACGAATCTGTCGAACGCAAATTGCTGTATCATATCAAACTTGTCGTACACTTTTCAATTGAATGCGAAGATGCTTTCGAAATTTTTTCCACGAATCCTCTGATTGTCTCGATGTCTAAAAATCATCGACCGATTCAATCTAAAAGGGAGAATAAGAAATGAAGAAATGTAGATATTAAATGAAAGAAAACAATGAAGAAATCGAGATATTTATCGTCAACTATTGATATATATTAGACATTATGTAGCATGTTACGTAAAATGCACATTATTGATCGCGGCTTACTTTCGCCTTCACGAACTGTAAGGCAATAAGGAAATTGCTGTCTTTCGTAAAAGGGAACTTTCGCATACTCATTCCGCGATATAATTATCGCTTAATAAGTATTAACTTCTCTCTCTCTCTCTCTCTCTCTTCTCTCTCTCTCTCTCTCTCTCTCTCTCTCTTCTCTCTCTCTCTCTCTCTCTCTCTCTCTCTCTCATATCGCAGGACAAGAGGTAGGCATATTAATAAAAAAGGAGATACTAAAACGCAGCTAGCGGCGGTCGCTGATCGACAAATTGGTAAGATTGTCCAAGGCTGAATAACCCATTTCTGCTTTCACGCGTTTTGAGATTCTCTATAACCGCGCACAGTATATATGTATGTATGTATCATACATGCATACGTACCCGTCACACAGCAATAATCCCTGATAAAACGAGGGGGAAGGAGGAATCAGTCGAACTCTTTCCGCTTTAGAGAGTCGGAGCATGACTTGGAATTTACAATACACCTCTTCGTTTTGATATATGTATGTACATATATTCACAAGATCCGTTGCAATCATGCGTTTCCCGCTTTTCTTGCACAACTATTTTGGCGTCGTGCGAATTTACGCTTTCTCAAGCCTTTTAGTTTCACTCAACAGCTTTTCACGTGCGTCACATTCACATTGCACACATCGATATATGCACTCAGCGATTTTTTTCAAACAACATATAAGATCCTTACCTGACAATTTTTTAGCAAAACGCGCGACGAAGAGAGAAGTAAGCTTTCATTTTTTGTTGCATCTCCTTATTCTTCTCGATCTCCTCGCACGCTTACTCGCTCGTAAATACGCACACATACATAGATAGTACTGTCTGATGAATAACCGATTGATTCTACCGATTGACTGACGATTTTCCTTTTCTTTATTCTCTCAAGTTTCGCTTCTCTCTCCGTCGGAACAAAACTTACACGGTGATGAAATTACACCGGCGCATTCATCGACTCGCTCTTCCGGCGATATATCACACGACGTCTCCCTAGCTCTGCGCTCTTTTATCCGATCATTATTATTTATCGATTCAAGCAGAAAAATAGACGTCAACGAGGCGATAATCAATCGCGATTTATACAATTTTGCTGATCAGCCGCGTTTATTTCCGTGTTGAAATTCGCAACTGTCTTGAGAGATCAGTTTGACAGCCAAGTAGAAATAGATGGATCGATACAAGTATTCCATAAAAATTGATATCAATGGTTAATGAAAAAAATTTATTAATTCAAACGTTTCAGAGCCATGTTAGATGCATATTATAATTAAAGAGTTTTTCATTCGTACATATTACTAAATGTACTTTATTTATTATTAATGTAATAAGTAATTTTCGAGAAAAAGAAATTTATTTGAAATTAATTTTAGAATTTCTTTATCTGATCTTGGATGTAAATCCTTTTCTTATCGATCAATCGTGCAATATAAACTGATGAAATCATTTAATGTCTTCGAGACTTGTTGTTTATCATAATTTCCTATATTTTTTATCATACAAACAAGAAGTTGCGAAAGACCGATGAGGAGCGCGTTTCAAGTGGCGGACCGTCGTCGGTCGAGGGAGCGATCGGATGCCGGTGCAACGCGCGGAAGCTTCTTTGACGTTGACACTAGCTCGTGTTTGGTTGGTTGATTGCATGACTAGCTGGCAGCACAGGAGGCGATCACAGCAACGGAAGTAGCAACAACAGCCAAAACAACCAGGCCGACGCTTCGCCATCGTCATCGGCTAGCATCAGTCATCAGGCCAACGACAGCAACGGATCGACGGCACCGCGACACCAGGATTCTTCGGTGATTGGTCTGTAGCATGATAATTTAGCACTCTTCTAGCAGTCCTCATCCGCAGTTTTGTCCAATCCTTTCGGAGGGTGGAAACGACGCCGTACTTTTCATTCATTCTCGCTGCCGTGGAGAGAATTGTCGGAAAATGAAGATTTTAAATGTGCCATTTTTAAATTGTATAGTTTTCAAAAGAAAACAAGAATGCGAAAATTTAGTGCTTGTCGTTTTCGTATCGGGTTATATCTTTCCGGGTTAATATCCTTTTCTTTTCTTTGTTCGTTCCATTTTTGGACTTGTTGACTGATCAATAAACACAAAATGGAATAAAATCATTATATATGCTACAATATATAACTAGAAAATTATGAAAAGGATGTGTGGCCGAGTTTATGTAGCCGAATTTTCATTTTTCTAATGGCTTTATATGTTAATTCGATTCTATATGGCTATTTACTCAGGAAAGACGCAAATTTGAAGCGCATTTCTTTGACAAACCGTGAAAAACAAGCGCGTTCAAAGATGCAATCCAAAGGCATCGTGAACATTTCCGTACGCTGTCAACATGTGTATAAATTTGCGTTTTCCATCCTCTTTCCTCTTCACTCGCAATTGCAATTTATTCCGGTTACCGTTAAGCCGATAGCTCGCAAGCTCGATTTAATTCAACGGAGAAGCTTCTCCGTCTTCTGGGACATTATCCGATGGGACGTCACCTTGACCGGCATTATGTCAAGTAGCTGACACGAACGAGCCGCGTGCACGAACATTAAGCAATTGACATTAATGCGATTGTTAACATTGATAGTGAGCTCAAAATGAGATTAACGCTTCGAATTTGTAAGGGCGCGATTGAATAGTATTTTACACTAGGAACGACGATTGAATTGAAAATCAAATTAAAGATATCGGAAGTAAAAGTGGATATTTTCATAACGCGAACATAATGTGATTCGCGGTAATAAAATTTGGAAAAACGATCACAGTTCACGAAGATTTGGGATTTGTTTGTGTGATTTTGTTTATTTAAATATATCTCTCTGTTCAGAAATGTCAAATTTTATTAATTATCGGCGAGATTTCGAGTTATCGGCGTCTCTGTTTCACGAGATTTTGCGCGTCAGCGTTGCGTTATCAGTTTCTTCTGTTTGTATCTGTGTCTTTCTGCATGCTGCATGCGCATTTCCGCATACCATCTCGTGATTGCGCGTGTCTTGTGTCCGCCTGCATGTACTTCTTCGCACAAAAAAAAAACATGCAGAACAGGAAGCACGACGGACGAATACTGCTAACCAATATGCGTCCCGGATGGGCTACATCCTGAACGAGGATTCCAAAGACGGTAAGGGGACCGTTGACGCCCATAAACTCGGAAGAAACGCGAGAGAGAGGAGCATGCAGCAACCATCATGCTGGAGTCTTACGTCTTGCGGGTTGCTGTAAGACACGCATGAATCGTCTCGTGCTTCCCTTGCGCGTTTGAATAATCCTGGGAAACGCAAATCTCTTAAAGAAAAAGGAAAACGTCATATCATAAAAAGAATAATTTCTCCGAGAAATCTTAGGATTAAAGAATTTGGGAAAATAATATTGAAATAAATGGTAAAATAATGTAACAGCTATTTTATTTTTCGATTTTTCGAACAAAGTATAATTGTTTTTATAAAATCTTCTTTGTAATCAAATTATAATCAGGCTAGGTAAAATACACAAACTTTATAACTATATCATAGTTATCGAAAGATAAATTTTTAACGTAACAATTTTCTTTTCGTAGATCATACAAAATTTTTAAAATGATGAAGAAGGTTTCGGAAAAACAGCAATTATACGTATTATCGAATGTTGATTCAAAAAACGAACATTTGCTCTCCATGATTGAAAACATGAGAATGGTGAATTGATAATTCTCATTTTTTCATATAAAACAATCTTTGCATATCTCAAGTGTGCAGGTATATTTTGGACTGCTAATCAGATCACAGCAACGAATGGATCGAATTCCATCGATTACGTTCGTCTCATCCGTCATATCGTACGTTCAACGTGATATTATCTTGCATCACAAGCAAGTAGTGAGTAAAACCGAGAGATCATTCAGACTGCCCGTATGCACGCGTTTAAGCCATCCACTAGATTCTATTCGTGTCAACCAATTTTCGTAATTAATATTGGATACAAATTTACATTAAGTAGATGATTTATTGCTAGTGAAATTATATTCTATTAGATTATAATAAGATCGTAATAAGATAATACTTTAATTATCAGTGATAAAATTTTAATATTTTTTCCAATTTTCTCATTAAACAAATACCTATTTTGCATCGCGCGCATCCGTGGTCGCTTCTGCAATAATATGGGAACTTTGCGAAATGATTCTGGGCACAAATGGTTCTGGGTCTAAAGAGTAGCGATTAGTAGATATTATGAAACTGGCTTACACAGTGCCCCAGCATTTGTCGGAATGAGATCACAACGAGTACTGAATCTAATGCGTGAACCGAGTGACACGATTAAAGACTCTTGGCATCGATTAGCGTGTATAACACGTGATCGAAACTTTGCTAATCCACTCTCAATTCGCAAGCGTCACACAATTTCCTTTACATAATTTCAACTCGTACATGCATTTGACTTGGACACATGTTACAATACATGGCAACATGAAAAATATGCCGAGAGAAGCAGGAGGATCCATTCGAATTCATACGCCACGTTGCTAGCATTTGTAGAAAAACGACAAGACGACTATAGAATATCATAAAGAGGATGGAAATAGCGCGTTTGTATTCGTTTATATTATAGATTACGCGCACCAGTTTTATACTATGAAAAAGTGCTGCGGCGGCAGCACCTATAATAACCCGTACAAGACTAAACGTAATATCGCAAACGCGATCAGACGAAGAAAACGACAACCCTAGAAGAAAATGAGAAAACGTATAGCGACGAGAATCCTCGAGGGAGACGGTTAATCCTCTTAAACGATATCGCACGTGAGGATTAAGCTAATAGCTTTTACATTTCGATCGAATTAAAAGCCAAGAGGCATTATAACGCTGAACTGTTTTCGCGAATATTACGCGATTACTGCATTTGCATATATTATTCATATTGATTATTATTTTTATTACTTTAATCTTTAATAAGTGAATCGAATAAACACTGTTATGCGATAAGTTATATAATATTACATATATTGTTAAATTGCATTGTGATTGTAACTCGCTGAATTAAGTAGGATTAATTAGTAGGATTTACTACGCGTTGTGTGTTTGTGGGGGAGAGAGAGAGAGAGAGAGAGAGAGAGAGAAAGATATATATATAAATATAGGTAAAAAGTAATTGACATGGCCGAAGCTTAATCCTCCTCGTGTTTGTACAACAGCTTGAATATGGCTTAAATATTGTCTCCGTCTTGACTCATTTTTTAATACGAAAGGGATGTATATTGCTTGTAGACTTAAGAATCGTGTGTCCTATCAAGACTTGCAGCCAACTCTCAACCAACTCCCAGTGCTCAGGTAAAGTGCGAAATTACGTCGTAAGAGCGGCGAACCGACGAAAAGAAGTGAAAAGAGTCGAGAAAGACTGCTTGGACTCGCGAATTTCCCCATTTATGAATTCGCGAAGGAAAGCATATTGCGAGGAAAGGAGCTAAATTAAACTTTCCTTATTTTCTGTGACTATTCTTTCTATTATATTGTTTCTTATATTCCAAATAAAAATAATCATAATTATTTCATTTTCTTGACTTTTTATAGTGCTTTAGTTCTTCTTTGTTGCAATGTGCTTTCCTCTCTTTGAAAGGGCTTTATTCCACACATGTTTATAGCATTAGTAAGCAAACGTTATAATTCATATAGCTTAACTTGCAGTCAGAGATTTCCTGTAGTGATCTTTACGACGATATCAAGCAGTAATGATTGTTAAATGTGTAACATGATGCAACCGCTCTTGCGAGATTTAGCGTAATCATTTTTTGGTGTTCTGTTACGCAGAAACTTTCTCACCTGAGCATTCCGAGCAATTGTTTAAAATTGTGTATATTTTTACATTCTTGATTTCCACTGAAGAATCGTAATCTTGAAAATTTTGCACTATACTTCAAACAAAATCTCTTTTCCGTAAATTCTATTGTGCAATTTCATTGCTACGCTACAAGAGTCTAGGAGCTTTACGAATGTCAAGTGAGGAAAATTTGTAATATTCTACTGCGTAATAATAATATACATATGATGCAAAATGCCACACAAATTACAAAAACGAATTGATCGGAGGATCGAGATTGTTGACTGCGTAATAGAATATCCGAGATACGGTCAAATTTATTTAGCTAGGAACACAACTAGGCACATATAGTTAGCGTAGCAAAGCTGGCGGTTGTGATGGTGGTAGTAATACATTTTCCAATTCATCTCGATTACGATTACTTTTCATCATTCATCCTACGTATCTCGTATCGCGTCTTCTATCTTAAGACGATCGCATTGCGCACCTAATTTGAAAAAAGCATTAAGTAAGATTTATTATTATTGAAACAAATAATATATGAAGTTTGACAACAGTTTTGAAAGACTGAATCGTAAGCTCGTAACCGATTTATTCCGATGCGAGGTCTCGATCGTCGAAATTCATCTTCGGCACGAAATTGATTGATTTGATAAACGCATACAAGGAACAATCCGAAAATAAAAACTGCGAAATAATAACTACTGCGTATTATTTCGCGATCTGGATTTATTAGTACATATTATCTCGAAACTTTCTTGCGGAACTTTGTTTTGGCGTCCAAGAGGAATAATTACAATTTCCGTGTGCATTTCCGTTGCTGGTCGATGACGTAAGTAATATTGACGAACGTGCCGTAGTCGTTGGATTAAGTAACATACTCTGTTATAAGTACCAATTTATTATTTATGACCATGTGTTTGGAACAGAATGGCTCCCAATCGAAGACTATAAAATTAAATAGACTTGAATTTGATTGTCACTAACATCACCAATGACAAAGTTAGATTGCAATAAATATAAGAAGAAATCAGTCAAATAATGTTAAATAGTTATTTTGAACAGTCCAACGATTGCTCGTTCGTTCATAGAGGCAACAATTTAGACGCACGTCTTCATCAAATTTACGCGTCACGCAAGATTTTGACGAGAAATGCACAAATGTTGTCGAATAATCAGATTCACCGGGTGAGATGCCTATTGATGAATGTGTGCGTAAATGCAGTCGAGTAAATGAAGTGACAGTATGAACAAACGTGAGAGAAAAAGACAGAGCGGAAAATGTGACAGAGACGCGAGCCACACGTTGTTCAGTCGCCAATTTAAACAATTTAAATCTTATCATTTAGCGTAAAGTGTTTTATCGCGATCGTCGAATTAAATACGATCGTGTGTATCCATCATTTCATCATTTAAGAACGCGAGCATGAGCGTAGATGTCAAGCGGGAGGAAACAAATAAAATATTCATATATACTACTCTGATATAAATATAATATATTGAAATATAATCGCTGATTATTGTGCAAAGTCAGTTTCTACTCAATTGCAGCACGATTGTTTGAAGAGACTTTTACCACTTTAATTGGCGACTGAAATATTAGTCATCTCGAATAGTCTACACGAGAATTGAGTTGATTTTTAACGAGGACAAACAATTTGATCGCGAGTTCGGCTCACGGCTGCACTCGAACTGCACGGGAAACGAATTATTCGCGCGAGTCTGGCTCATATCGCTCCTACGCATAATCGAAAGCCACGATGGTTTAGGGCTTAGAGAAGTTAATGAAAAAATAAATTGCATGCGACTGTGTTTGTGCCGTAAAAATGTATCGGTATGAGCCCAACGGGCCTGCCGGGCGCCTCGACACGGACCGACTGATTCATTGATCTGTTGACGATTCCAGCGCGCCGGCAGGAAATCATCAAGATGACCGAACAATTGATCGAAAGCATCAACACTGGAGATTTCGAGGCATACACGTAAGTAACAATGTGTTTAAATATATCAATTAAGAGAGAGCAAGGAAGAGCCTTATTCTGTTGCGTCAGAAAATTGCTGAATAATTTACGCTACACAGGATGCCTCAAGCTTCCGCATCATTCGGCAATATGTATATTTCAAATTAACTTACAAGATTTACATAAAAAGAAGTGCGGAAAATCTAAAATACTCGATGTGTATAATCTTTCTCAAAAAGCCTTTCGAAACAAGTTCTGTTTAATCAAATTTTCCGTATTGGTATTTTCATTTTCATGTATTTTTGTTTCGTCTTTTGTGTTTATTGAACCGCTATTATTATATTTATGTTTGATTAATGTCCATCGTTTCCAACCAACCAGTTTTGTATGATCAACTATAATTAATTTGCCAAAACTAAATTTCCGATAATGGCTATTCATTAAAAAGATTACTGAGCGAATGTAAATTCGAAACAATTTGCTCAAACTCGGGGTACGTGTATTCAATCAGCATTAATTACGATTAATTCAATTCTTTTCCACTAAAGTTAAAATTATGGAATGATGAAAAAGAAGACATGAAACTTACTTAAACAAAGCCGCGTGCAATTCTTAACAAATTTATTATATATAATATATTAACAAAAAACATTTAATTACTATGTATATTCAACGTGACAACATGCTAAAATAGCTCAATATTGCAGTCGTACTTTAAAGAGCGAAAATACCGACTGAATGAACGTGTAAAATATTTCCATACGCTTTCATTACTTGACACAAATTGTTGTTAACGCTACATGTATATCTATGCTCTTGCCCAATAATTCATTACAGATGTAAATAAATTGTGCGCCTTGCTACATGCTTTTCTGGGCGATGTCAAATTTATTTGGTTTTTTTAACAATCGATTGATCGTTAAAATATTTGTCGCATATGATCATTCGTTGTATAAGCACGGTAGATAAATTCGGCGTTGCAATTGCGATTCGCTCGTTGTTTACAAACTAAAGCATATTTCTATTGTTCTTGTTTTTCTTATATATTTTGTTTCAGTTAATTTTGAATCAGTCTTCTGCAATGCAAATTTTTATTGAGGCACAAAATCTGCCATTGGCAGATAGATAATGTAGTACAGGCATTGCGTTGTATAATTATTACAAGAGAATATGTTAATCTTTTCTTATACTTGCAGGAAAATCTGTGATCCACACTTGACTGCGTTCGAGCCGGAGGCTCTAGGTAATTTAGTCGAGGGAATGGATTTTCACAAATTTTACTTTGATAATGGTAATTATGAATCATCAGCTTGTAAAATCGCAATACACATAACGAATTACGCAGTGTTCGAGTAACGTTTATTTTGTTTCTCAACATCCTAAGCAGTCCTGGGGAAGAACTGTAAGGCCGTCAATACAACAATCTTGAATCCTCACGTCCACTTGCTCGGCGAAGATGCCGCTTGCATCGCGTACGTTAGGCTGACGCAATACATGGACAAGTGAGTAAAAATGGTGAAATGTGAAATAAGTTTGCAATTTATAAGATTAACATTAGACGTGCCTCCATATCAAATATAGATCTCCTTCGAATTATGATCTTAGTTTCTTCTTCTTTTGTTTTAATATTTAAAAAGAAAATAATTCTGCCTATGTATTAATTTCAATACTTTTATCTCAATAAGATTCTGATTTCTGAATAATTAATTTTTGAAACAATGTGAATGGTATCGAAAGTTTTCTTTCATTTAGAGCAAAGTATTCCTATCTTGCGATACGAATGATAAAATTGAAATCTTCAACTAATTCGCATATTACTTGTGCTTTCGCAGACAAGGTGTAGCTCACACCCAGCAGAGCGAGGAGAGTCGTGTATGGCACAAGAAGGACAACAAGTGGCAGAATGTGCATTTCCACCGAAGCGCGGTGACGGGCCCGTC